CCCCTTCCCTCCCCTTCCCTTCCCTTCCCTTCCCTTCCCTTCCCTTCCCTTTTCCCTTCCCCTCTCCTCTCTCTTCCTTTCCTTCTCTTCCCTTCCCTCTCCCCTCCCCTCCCATCCCTTTCTCCTAGCCAAGACTTTGCAAGGAAAACAATGTGAACCTCCCTTTTTTTTCGTAGTCATAAAATGGGAAATCCTAATCAGTACAGATGACAACAGTAGTTTTTACTTAGATGCAGCCACTTAAATTAGCACTGACATTTGTTGTCTGTGAAGCGCATGAAATATTGAGTCTAATTTAATACAATTTAATAAAACTCCAAGGACCTCAATCCATTTAAAAACAAACAAGACCTATTGCTTGATGCTTGGTAAGAGGTTTCACAATTATGACATTATTAAATAATGGTTCCCAGAAGCATTTCTGTAGCTAAAGCTCTGCCACGATTTCCATTGCAAAGTCTGCCTTAGAGGGGTTTATAAATCTGGTTATTTCCGTTCCTATGGGACTGCAGCTTGGTGCCTATGATCTGGGAGCATCTGCATCACGTAAGGATTTAGGACTCCATTTTGTTCCCTTGTAGACCTAAAATTGTCTTGGACTTTGGCTCCATTTACTCTACTTACAGATCCAGAGGGACACTGCAAAATAAACCACGTTAGGGCTTTTGTTATCTACAAAAGTCCATGGCTACAGAGTGGCTGTATGGACTTCGGGTAGCTTACAGGACGTACTTCTCTCGTGATACTCGGTGCCTGCTGCTATTTGGCTCCCACAGCTCTCTGAACCAGCAGATATAAACTCACTCCTGGTGAGAAACTATGTAATTATCACCCCTTAGAAATTAAAACTCACCACTCCTTTTCACTTTCAATTAGAACAAACACTTCCGGAACGCAGGTCGCCAGAGATGAGCAGGCAAGGCACTGACGCTGACCCCAGGTGACACAAAATAACGGTCGATACATCTGCTTATCAAAGTTCACGCTCTTCTTGCTTAAAATTATGTCTTCTTGAATTTTATTTCTGTTCTATACTGGTGCTACTGTGCTGCCGGATGTCGATGCTCATGCAAAGCATAATCCCAGTCACAAGGGTGCTCAAAATGATTCTGTGCTTAAGTAGAGACACTTTTCTACACCACATCTAGTACCGCGCACAAATTCTTATCACAGATATGATCCTCCTCTTTCCCCCAAACCATGTATAATTCATATCAGTTTTGCTAATTGTTTTTTTTTAATCACTGGAAAATACCGACTCCTCCAGAGCTTGCAGGAGACGGCTTTGGAAACTCCACAACTTTGCTGTTCAGAAAAGGACTTCACTCACAAGCAGTTAATGTCAAGTAAATCAAAGGTAGCTTAATGTTTGACCCGTGTACTGTGGGACATGGCAGAAGGTATAATCCAAGGCAAGGATTAAAGAGTTGTCAGAAGTTGCTTTGTCAGTCATAGAAGCTGCAAAATTAAGCCTAGCTGTGAGTTTATCTGCATTTTTGTAAGGGACTGTGCATCTCAACATTCTGTTTTTTCCTCAGACACTCATTCTCTTAATAACCTTCTTGTGTATAAGAGTAAATATTTACATCATTAATAATTGTGGTTTCAGTTGTGGTTTCCCCTGATGTGAAAAAATTCACTAGCAAACTTCTCAATGTTATATTTTGGGGAAATGCAAAGTACTCCCCTCTCTAATGAGGGTCCAGTTTGGCAAACTGAACACAGAGATTTCCACAGTGCACTAATAACAACCAATAAGCAACATCTAGAACGCTCAATTCTTTGAGTTTTTACTGAAGCCTGTAAAAATTGCTTTCTAAAAGCAATTTCAAGTATTTTCCCATTTGCAAAGTGTTCACCCAAACATGCCAAGAACACAGGGAGAATGCACACCGAGCGCAATTCGTTAGTTCAACCCTTTTTAAAGAGAACGGTCTGAAAAACATCTTGAAAGAAGGTAAATGTTTCTGAGCATCACGAACATTTCAAGACTATGTAAAGAGTTTCGTCTCTCCTTACCTGACTGGCAGGTGTCTCTCCAATCACAGCCTCATAAGGAGGGGGCAGCTCAGCTGGATACAGCATTCCTGGGCTGTTAATGGTTACTTCATATAAAGCACTGAACGGGGAATGAGGAAAGTCCAAATGGAGACCCCTGTTTAAAAACACAAGCAAGCAAACTCACCTATTAAGAAATGGCATTGGATGTATTTGCTGAACTATTCTACACCACAGTGATATGGAGCATTCTCTGAATTCCGAGTCAAGATACCATGAAGAATTACATTGAAGAAATTCATCAGACAACCAGAATGAAGCCCTCATTCACAGGGTAGCTTTAAAAACTGTATTTCGTTTTGGATGTCAGCCATCTCATTCTGCAGTTGTTAACAACCTTCTCTACGTTAACATACATTAACTGCAATGTTTTCCTCAGAAAATTAAATCTCATCTGCAACTTCATAGAATCACAGAATGTTGGGGTTGGAA